GCATGATGGTAATTAAGATATACATGTAAGGAAACGGGCACTGTTATTCTTTAAAACAGAACTCGTACACCATTTATTAAATTGGCTAGCCATGTGCGGAAAACAGAAACTGGACCCCTTCCCGACATCTTACACTAAAATTAACTCCAGCTGGATTAAAAGCTTAAACATAAGACCTAAAAACATAAAAACCCTAGAAGAAAACCTAGACAACACCATTCAGGACATAGGCATGGGCAAAGACTTCATGACTAAAACATCAAAGCATTGGCAACAAAAGCCAAAATAGATAATTGGGATCTAACTAAGCTCCAGAGCTTCTGTAGAGTAAAAGGAACAATCATTAGAGTGAACCGGCAACCATCAGAATGGGAAAAAATTTTTGCAATCTACACATCTGACAAAGGGCTAATATCTAGAATATACAAAGAACTAAAGCAGATTTACAAGAAAAAAACAAACCCATTCGAAAGTAGGTTAAGGATATTAACAGACACTTTTCAACAGAAGACATATATGAGGCCGACAAACATGAAAATATGCTCATCAGCATTGGTCATTAGAGAAATGCAAATCAAAACCTCATTGAGATACCATCTCATGCCAGTTAGAATGGTGATCATTAAAAAATCTGGAGACAACAGATGCTGGAGAGGATGTGGAGAAATAGGAACACTTTTACACTGTTGGTGGGAGTGTAAATTAGTTCAACCATTGTGGAAGACAGTGTGGTGATTCCTCAAGGACCTAGAAATAGAATTCCATTTGACCCAGCAATCCCATTACTGGGTATATATCCAAAGGATTATAAATCGTTCCATTATAAAGACACATGCACGTGTATGTTCACTGGGGCACTGTTTACAATAGCAAAGACCTGGAACCAACCCAAATGCCCACTGACGATAGATTGGACAAGGAAAATGTGGCACATATACAGCATGGACTGTTACATGGCCATGAAAAACGATGAGTTCACGTCCTTTGTAGGGACATGGATGAATCTGGAAACTTCATTTTCAGGAAACTGACACAAGAACAGAAAATCAAATACTGCAGGTTCTCACTCATAGGTGGGTGTTAAACAATGAGAACACATGGACACAGGGAGGGGAGCATCACACACTGAGGTCTGTTGTAGGGGAATAGGGGAGGGACTGTTGGGGGGTGAGGAGGTTGGGGAGGGATAACATGGGGAGAAATGCCAGATATAGGTGACGGGGTTGTGGAGGCAGGAAAGCACATTGCCATGTATGTACCTATGCAACAATCCTGCATAATCTGTACATATACCCCAGAACCTAAAGTACAATTAATATACATATATATATATATATATATATATATATATATATATATAAAATAAAATAAATAAAATGACAAGAAAAAAAAACTCAGACTAACATCCAAGGACTCCTTCTTTAAGTCTATACATTTAGAGTCAGCAGTTTATCAACTTTTTTGACAAGCAAATGATGGAAAGCTAATGATACGGGTTGTACCATCGGAGTCTAGCACAGTCCAGAAGTCTGTGCCCCAGTGATTCCTGAGTAAGGGTTCTAGAAGCATTCCTGGCCCCATTCAATAGACTCTTTTACTTTGGTCTTAGATTATCATATGTAAAAAACAACTCAGTAAATTACCTAAAATAATAAGCTTGAAAGCCATATTGTAGCCTCATTATCTCCATTGTCTTAATGACCAAATTTTATTCACTGCAGAGTCATTTAATTGATCTTGCTGGTCATCTGCCATTAATATTGACTCCAAATCTGAAAGTCTAAAAAAACTCACAGACATAATTTCTCTAACATTAGAAGTTTCTCTTTAAGGATTGAATTTTTTACCCACTAATTGTATCTCTGCCATAGTTTAATCATATGTAAATAATTTTTAAAACTGCATTGTTAAGCACTGCCAAAACAGACATTCCTATAATTAACTGGAATAAATATAAACACTATTAGAACGTACAATAATGCCAGCTTTCATCTGAGGAATCACACAGATAACATGTGACATGTAACAAAATAGATGATCCATAACTAAGTTAATTTATAATTAATATGTAGTGAAATATAAAATACAATAATGTCCAGAGTAATTGAATGTCATAAATAATTTAATTGGATTTATTCAGTAACAGAATTGAATCGTAGATATCATTTTTCTATTTTAGAGATTAGAAAACTAAACCTTAATAATATTAGGCAACTTGCCCCTAAGCTCTACAACTGGTAGAAAGTGGTAGAGCAAGAATATAAAACTGATGTCAATTTGACACATACTGTACTTATCCATTATCTGATCAAGTTAAGGTATAAAATGTATTAAAGTCATCACTTACATTTTCCAAATTACCCAAGTAGCTAGACTTGTGTTAGGATGACTAAGAGTGTGACCATCTAACTAGCCTAGGTTGGATACACATCTGTGACAAGCACTGAATAATCAGGTTCTTTCTTTTCTTTCTATGATTATCTGCCTAGCTATTTCTCCACATCTTCTTCTATAATTCTTAGTTCTTTCTGTCCTATAAACATTTCTGGGCATAGACATCACCTCCCAAACTGAAAAAAGAAAAAAGTATCTATTTTATTTACCCAAGTAATAAAAACTGTACTTAAGTCAAAGATTTTATTATGTTTTTGCTTATTCAGACCACCAAACTATTAATGGAAATAATCATTTCATCATCTCAAGTATAAAACCTATAGTACTCAAGTTCTCTGCCACTTTTTTCCAAGGATATATGAAAATTGTTCTTGTAAGGTCTTACATTTGTCTCTCCTGTCTATAAATTCCCCCTCCATCTCAAATTATTTTACAGCCCTTTTTTCCCTGTATTTTAGATGATTAAAATATTTCTTTTAAATATTAAATCCATTTCTATCCTGGACATTTTTCTCTGAAAGGCGATATTGAACTGCCGATATACAGCATGCAAAAGATAAAAACAAACTAACTTTTCTGTCATATAAAAATAAGTGACCTTCTTTGATTAGTTGAAAGGGAAGTACATAATATTTCTTGTTACTTAATCAAGAAACCACATGATTTCTCTTATGAACAAAAGGCCTTTGCCCAATAACTTTGTATGCTTATGCAACTTAAGTAACATCTTCATAATTTTAAATTGACTTGCAGGCGTTATATGGAATAAGCATACTGAATTATTATGTGAAGGTTATGAAATTCAGAAGAAGGGCATTAAAATTTTAAAACTATTGATTTTTAAAATGTCAACTTCACCCAAGCGGCTCCATTTAATACCAAATTAAATGGCATTTAGTTTAAAAATATTTTTGTTGGTTTTAGAAAATTTTACATTGTCACAAAATATGATTTTACTTAATAACTATTACTTTCTTTTATATATTACTTGAATATTGTATATCTGTCCATTGAAGAATGTTTGATGACTTTGTTAAATGTCCATTAAAAATGAATGAAATTAAGAGATGGTTTCCTAATCAAATCCTAATCATTACAGTTATTCCTCTTGATTTCTTTATAAGAAAACAAGTAACAAGGGAATGAGACAGAATTTTAACACACATACACACACACACACACACACACACACACACACACACATAGCGTATATGATTGTGTTACTGTTAGAATGGCCATAAAAAATACATTTGTACACAAAACACCTTTGTGTTTACATAAGTTTAGGTAGGAAAATGCTATGACTGGGCCAAAAAACTAATAAAAATCCTAATTCACATCTCTAGAAACCTTTAACTTATATTAACATCCTTTTGTTTACAAGGCAGCAAAAGTCAGTATTTGTAAAATATAGACACATTAGAAGAAATAATACATATAATACAGATTACCTTGATTGACATAGATGCTCTTCAACAAAAATAATTTTCACCCTCACTTAAGGTGTGCTCAAGTGAAAAAAGGACCCATGCAGTAAATCACCAAATTATTCCTCTATCTTTTAAAGTTGAAGAATTGATTTACAGATAAACTCATTAGTTAGGTAAGCTTCATTTTACCAGGAAGACACACATAAAACTGACAGAGAGAAGTGTAAAAATACAGGGGCACAGATTTCTTGCTAAAATTCCCTACTTAGAAAACCTTCACCAGTACTCACTACCAAACTGAAAAATTCAGTACACCTTTACAAATATTAAAGTAATTGAACCTGAAGTAAACTAGGAACTGGGAACATGATATGACAATGGCAGAGAAAAGGGCAGGCTTTCTAGAAGCACCTTTTGGTTCAGGAAGCTCTCCAGTGAAAATCTCCTTCTCAAATATTCAGACAGAAGGAAGTCGTGAAAAACAAAATGTCTATCCAGCTAACACCCGGACACCCAATCAATGCACCATGAACTGCCCATCGCTTGTCTAATATCATTTCTAACTGACTTCTGCCCACAATCATTTTTAATCCAAAGCAAAAGTTTTAAAGCGAGCTAAAACACACACACGCAAACACAGAGGGGGTGCCATCAAAACAAGATTGCGAAGAAATGTGGATTGGAATTGTTCATAATTTAGAAACATTAGGCTCAATAGTTTCATGATGACGTTTTTCCACTGCAAGTATCAGGGAAGGATACCTAAGTATTAATGTTAGTATGAACACCATTTTCATAATATCCTAAAAGCAGCAGCTGAAACCAACTCGCTATAAGAGCTTACTACTCTTCATTTATTACAAATAGTCTTGCTCTACTTTGGTCATGACGTCTTTATCAGTGTGTTATGATGATAGTGGTTTAAACCAGGCCTCTGTAGAATCCTCATCTGTTTTTAGAAGTGAAGCATCATTCCCTAAGATACGGCTTCACTGTACTGAATATAATACCTCGATTACAACTTCGCAGTGGCTATGGCCAAAGAGTTTCATAAACTCTTTCACAGAAATGATGTCATGTGTTTACCATCCTCATACAAAAAAAAATAGCAGTTTTTCATCCAACCACAGACATGCACAATAATCATTTACAACTTTGAAAGGTCACATACCCTACCTTTCCTACATAGAGGGGGTCTGAACCCATGTATTCCTCCAGAACAAAGAACTGATTCCACACCCAGCTGCGCTTGGTCCGGGACCTCCCTGTTTGGAAATAGGGCTTTGATCTGGACCTTGAGAGTTCTGCTTGACTCATCCCAGAAAAACACAGGAAAAGAGCTATTAGCTGCAGACAATGGCAGAACTCCACTTTGCCCAACTTCATCTTTTTTTTTTCTTTCTTTTTCCTGTGTAAGAAAAAAACCTTGACAAGAGAAAAGGCACAGTTCCAGTTGGCTTAGTAGCTCTTGCCTCCGGCAGGGTGTCAGCTGAAAGTCCAGAGATAATAACTTGTAGAGTATAGGATTGGAAGAGGTCACCACTGCTGAATAGCCTTCGCCAAAGAATGGTGTAATAGGTACCTATCAGAACAGAGAAGAGATGGTATCAGGAACCAAAACATATAATAACATTTAACATTCATTTGCTAACTTACTACTGATCTTAAGAATATACAAATTTCCTAAGATTATACAAATATCATTATTTGTATAATTATTAAAATATTAATTATACACTTATAAAATCATAATAAACACTGGTATATTTGTGAATTACCTAAATACAGCTGATGCAGAATTATCTTCATTTCATAACACAACTTTAAAATATCACTTTTCTTCTAGGGCATTTTATTTGAGCATATGGTTTATTTTACACAAATGTGGCAGCGTCATTTTAAAAATCATTTTAATATAGCCCTATTTTTTTCTTTTATATTACACTAATTTTCATGCATTGGTATTAGAATGTGAAAGCAAAGCAACTCAAAGCAGAAATTTAACCAAATGGCAAGGACATATGCTGGTTTAAATCTCTTCTGTGAAACTGTAAAGAGAAATAAAGTATGAGGTGATTCAAAACTGGTTGATTGATTCTGAGTCACAGAACACCAGCTGTTTGATGTGTTCTGATTTGATTGTGATCAGCTGAAAAGCTCAGTAGTTTCCATTTTCCACCCTTCGAACTTATTGTCATGTATGCTGTGTAGCATGTTAGATTATGCTATTGCAATGAGGTTATTTGCTATTTTGTAATTATTTATTGAACATCTTGCAGCATGAGTTGTGCATAGTAGGGCCTCCCTCCACAAACATTTACAGAATTGAATTATTTTGATCAACAGAAGAGTGAGAAAGCTCAGCTGTATTTGTGAGGCCCATTCATTGTTGGCATGCACCCAGGAGGTGCTTTAGCAGCAGCATGGAAAAACACTTTTATTCTAATGTCTATTTATTTCAGTTACAGAATTCTGATTATGCAAGAGATATAAAATCAGTTACAAAACCAACTTTCGAACACACCCCTAAAACACAGAGGAATGAGAATTTATGACAAAGTGCTCACTTAAATCACCATGTTGCACTTTGGTTTATGAATTCATTTTACTTCCTATAAATAAATCAACAATAGAATGATTAAGGCAAAGAAGTATCATTTGCCTACTTCTGTTTTTTTTCTGGGGATGAGGATAAAAATATAGTTTTGAGAACATAAAGCCAAAAGATGCCTCCCTATTAAAGCAGAAAATGCACTATCCTGAGCTTTTCAGTCCCTTCTGTTAGAAGAGTATCTGTTATACAATAAAAAACTTTACCACCAAATTTCTTAATACTATAGTTAGTAGGAGAAATGTGAAAGAGGTATATAAATAGACACAAGTTTATCAAATATTTTAAATAGTTCACACAATTAGAATAAACGAGTTGCAATGACTTTGTGCAATGAACTGCTAAAATGAATGCATACATTTAAAATATATATCCATAAAGTTGTGATATTCCAGAGGGCATTTAAGAAAGATCCAGTGTTCATCTAATTACTGTATGCTAAGAAGCACCAGAACGGTAACCCTTACTAGGGCACATTAACTGCAGCCTGTGCATAGAACACAATCTCCCCAAATCCAGATACCTTATCCTAGGATGAAAAACAAGTTTATTCCATTTAGAAACCACACTAGAGGGCCAGTTGTTCTAGACTTTCAATTATAAAGTACAAGCAACTTGGTATCATGCCTTGATGTTCCAATGTGGGTGCCTTAATTAAGTTGAAAATTTATTGTAGGTAGGTCTGACTAACCTGCCTGAAAGGTATGCCTTCTATCATTTGAAAAGGCAGGTAGGTGCTTAAACTTTGAACAGCATATGATGTGCCAGCGTAGGGATGAGTCCAGTGATGAGATGAGAATTGTGAGGAGTGATCTTAAGTAAGAACGACTAACTGTATGAGAAGGGGCAAAGTCATGGAGCTTCTTCCTTCATCTAGTGGCAAACCAGTCTCCTGGGGACGGGGAGAAATGGTTTAGAGTTGTGGTCAGATGGCTGGGACAAGCATGTGAAGCCTGTGGCCAGAGGACAGTTCCTGTTTCACTACTATCCCTTCTCAAGCGAATGAAATATCTCTTAAAGATGATGACATAAACACTTTGACTCCTGAGAATATATATTTTCAGATGCAATAGAGCAAAATTATATTATGTAGGCTACTTTATGAATTGAGTGGATGTGGTAACATTGTTTCAGGGTGACAATACATCCAACTCATAAAAAAACTAAACAGCAAATGAACTTTTGGAATTCAACATTTGAGGAGTCAGTTACCAATGAAGACTGTGGGTGTCTGTATCAGATAAAGATTCAAATTCTGGGCCTGTCTTAACTACATAATCTTGGATAAGTTACATTCTAAAAAGTTCCAGAGATGAAGCCTTAAGTCTTGTAAGGCCGGCTGCCTCGCAGAGGGTTAAACGGACACATCCACCTCTCTCCCGTCTGATAACTACGTCATCACCCAAGCTTGTTATCTGGCCTTGCCGCATGGCTTCCCCGCACCCGCCTCCGCATACCAGACCCAAGACCACATTCAGCACTAAATTATTCATTCAACCCCCAGCCCGCTGTTGATAAACCCTGCAGGAAAAGTTTTTAAAGATGCTCCATCAGACCCTGCCTGGTAGCAGTCTGCTCTGTATGCCCCCAGCAGGCCCACTTACCCATGGTCCCACCTGCCTACCTATGACAACTAGCTCCATGTATTTCCTGCTTCTTAATAGCCAATAAGATTGACTTCGCTTTGTTTCCCCAACTGCCAATCAAGTCCCACTTACCCAAAGTCCCACACGCCTACCAATGGCAACTAGTTCCAGGTATTTCCTGCTTCCTGACAGCCAGTAAGATTGCCTTTGCTTTGTTTCCCCAATAGCCAATCAATCGCCTTACCTCCCCATAAAACCCCATGACCTAAACAGCCGGGCGTTGCCCGAGAGCTGAATAAATTAATTTCTCATTTTTTTATACTTGCCTCAGTTTCCTCATTTTACCTCATCAATAAATCTTACAAGTCCCTCATCTAAAAAACAAAGACCACAATAACAGCATCTACTTCACAGGATTAAATGAGTAAATCATGAGATACCAATAATAGTGCCTTGCAATCAAAAAGGAATTTTTAAAAAGCTGTTGGGATTGTTATCGTAGGTTTTGGTTTGAAACTGGCTACGTTAAAGTTAGGTTATGGGTT